ATGTTCACATTGCGATTTTTTGTTGCGATTAATGCGAAAGTCAAATTTAGTAACGTTAAAGTCAAATTCACGTTACGATTGTTGGTTTGCGATTTCACGTTTCGAATTTGACTTTCGCAACAATCGCAACGCGATAATCGCGTTGCAAATTTGACTATCGCAATGCGAATTTGACTTTCACGTTGCGAATTTGACTTTCGCATCAATCGCAACAAAAAATTGCAATGTGAGAACAACTGAACAAATCATAGCAATGTTCAAACTCAAGTTACTAATGAATGTCTAACTGAAAATGTATGCATTCACACATAAAATACACATAATACAACGTTTTGCATTTTAAAATCACCTAAGTTAATAAGTCCCAAAAGGTGAAGCCGATTGTAATTGGGATTTTGATTGCGATTTTGATTTCCTTTTGCTTGGCACCATATGAGCTTTGGATTTTAATGATGATCCATATTTTGGTAGAGGAAAAGATGATTGTGATGGCACTGGTGATCCACAGGTCAACCTTGTATGACCACTTTCCTTGCACTGACTACATGTCGATATCCTCTTCTCTTCACCCTTAGACGGTATACGATCGTGATTTTTTGGTCGGCCAGGTAGCCTTCTGTCCATGACAGGTGGCAAAACTGTTTATAAGTCATCTGGTATGTCCCACTCAGAAGGATGTGGAATAGGGTAGACAATCTCGGCATAAGTCTGTCGATATACTTCTGTAGTGTAGCAATCCATAGCGTATGCGCTTGAATCATCTTGGTTTAGATGAAGAGCAACTTTTATAACATGGCCACACGGATAACCAGATGTTTGCCATTTCATACAACTACACGTCTTTGCATTTAAATTGACAAGCCCATTTAAGTTATTATCCAATACTTCAAACAAAATGTTTGAACATGGTTCAATTCTCCATGACGTTGACTTCACAACACGTTTCGTTATCTTTTTTTCAGTCCATAGTATAACACGACGTTCCAATGTTGCTGTAAATTTAAATAAATAATACTTAGTAAAATATATGATAAATTATGAATTTAAAGAAATAATACATGCATGATTTCTTTTTTTGTAGTACCATTTTTGAATAGAGGCTCGAAAAAACTCCATTAACATAGTAATAGGTAATTTTTGGGAATGACGACTTAGATCGTTGATTGATTATGCACTATTAGACGTCATGAAACCATATTTTGCTCCAAGTTGATGTACTCTTGACCATCTTTCAAACCCGACATCTTCTAGTATTTAAGCACATTGAGGCAAAACACGTCTTAAACAATTTATATGCTTATTAAAATCCACTTCCTGATAAGCTTTTACAGCCTTCCAATATGTCAATTTGTGATTTTTTATACCAGCAGACCTTGATTTTAGATTTTTGTACAAATGAACACCACAAAGTCCATGAAAAGCATCTGAGAAACACCTTCTAACAGCGTTGTCAATTGAGTTTTCCATATCGGATATGATTGTCAGATTATTAATAGGACCTATACAATCCCTAAGATGCCCCCATAAACCATGTCCATGAATCAGAGGTTTCAGATTTGCCAACCCCGTAAGCTATTGGCAGTATCTCATTGTTAGCATCCATGGCTACTGCTAATAAGTTTACTCCAAGGTATCGACCTTTCAAATGTGCTCTGACAACTATAATAACTGGGCGCATGCAAGTAATACACGAACGAATCTACAAAATAATATACACAAGACATATAAACATTTAAATGTGAAATGCATGTAACTAACAAAAATGAGTCAACAAAATTATATTGATTTACTAACCGCAGCACCAGTAGCGATAAAAAGCAACTCAAAGCGTCCATCTCTATTTATTTTGATATGAGTTACTGACCCATGATTTTTTAGCTTTAAATTGTGACAATAAGCCGGCAGTTAGGCAAATAATGCTTGTGGAGACACCCTCAACAATTCCAAGGCATAACATTTGGCTCTCCAAGCTTGAGAATATGAGATACTAATCTTGAACCGAGCATTCATGTCAGTCATAATTTCATGTCCCCGATATACTCTGTCATTCAAAAACATTAACTCAGCCAGAAAACCACCCAACACCTTTTTGTTTGCCTGTCTATAGTGAGGAAAAACTTGGGTTCTTGAACATGTATGTTTATCAATAAAAGTCCTAACTTGAAACATTTCGCAATCTTTTATCCTCTTTGCAATCATACGCCACGTACAGTTTTTGTCAATCATACACTTTGTTTCGATACGATCTTTGCTTGATTTGTTAACTTTTAGTTGATAGACATCTTCCACACATTTCATATACAAAGCTATCTTCAAGTCTTCCTTTGTATCAAAACAATCATCTTTCTTAATACAAATAACTTTTGTGTAACAATCAACTGCTATCTTTACCAACTCTTCTTCCGGTATCTGAAGTAATTCTGGCATATTCCAGTTATACTCCCGTGGCATTTTCTTCTTTTTCTTTTCTTCGGGGACTTCTTCTTCTTCTTTTTCTTCTTCAAGGTTATATGAATTACAGAATGGATGTTCAACATGTTCATTCACAGTCGTAACTTCCTACTTATTATCATCAACAACATCTTCCTCGGCAGCGGCTGTTTCATCATCAAAATTTGGGTATTGACCAATATCAAAATCATTACACGCAGGGTCTGTTTCTTCTTCTGAAACATCATCAAAATCCAAGTATTGACCAAGATCAAAGTTCGGGTATTGACCAAGATCAAATTTCGAATACTGACTAGTACTCACAATTTTTTCTGTTGGCTCATAATCGTCTAACTGGTCAATACGAAAACCGAAATTTGGTGCTGAAAGTTGATTGAGATTTGGATTAGGAAAAGGTTGTGGGTTTTGAGATTGTGTTTGGTATTGGAAATGTGGTGAAATAAAATTTTCTTGGTGATGAAATTGTGGTGGAACCATTAAATTTTGAGGTTAATAACAACATTGTACATTGTGAGTACCATAAACTGGGGTTGAAGAACTTAGTTGATTACTACCCACTACTGACCCAACTTCACTACTTCTAGGTTCAACAACATACAATGTAACATCATCTTCTTGCGAAACACTAATGTAAGCAATGAATCGTTCAACATCTTCATTGTCGGTTAACAAATAAACTTTAACTTTTCTCTGATAAGATAGCCTAAATCCACTTAGAGGCTCTAAATTCAATTTCTTTGCAACACGTAACATTAGAGTTTCATAAGTTAACTTTTTTAATGACAGTTTTAGTTTAAGATTCATGGGTAAAGGCACATATTGTAAAACACCATGAACATTCTCCTATGACCCTCCAAAACACAAATCTATCCAAACATGATCAACATTAGATGATTTCATTATACAAATTGTAAATTAATTTACTAAACAAACGAGCTATAAACTACATATCATCACTAACTTAGAGAAAAACATACATTTATTAAGTTGATAGTTGATAATTTGGGAGAGAAATCATTGAAAAATTATATAAAAATAAAATTATGTAAAAAAAAATAGAGATGGGGAAGGATATCGTTGGATATAGGAACGGATGTCGCCGGAGAGAGTGATAGATGTAGATGGAATGAGTTGCGATTTAGGGATTTAGGTTATGAGTTGTCGCTGCTGTGTAGTTATATACCCAAAAGATTTGTGTTGCGAAACTAAAACTTGTTGCGAAATTAAATTCGTGTTGCGAATTTGAAATTCAGTTGCGAATTTGAAATTCAGTTGCGAATTTGAAATTCAGATGTGAATTTGAAATTCAATTGTGAATTTGAAATTCAGTGTTACGAATTTGGCAAACGCGTTGCGAATTTGACTTCTTTGTTGCGATTTACATATTTGCGTTGCAAATTTAAAACTGGGTTGCGAAATTGGAGTTCGTGTTGCGAATTTGTTGGTCATTTTCTCAAATCAAAAAAAAATTGGTTAAAATCGTATATTATAAGGCATTTTCGATCACTGAAGTTATTTTCTTTATTTAAAATCTTAAAAAAATCGTTAGCTGTGAATGTCTAAGGAACAATAGTTTAATTTAAGGTTAAAGAAAAGTGTAACCAAAAATATTAAAAAATACTTAACATTTTCGGTTGAGCATCATCTAAAGTATTAATTTTTAAACATTTGCGCAACTTAAAATGTTAGGTTGTTGATAATATTTTCGGAGGTACACTTTTCCTATCAACCAATAAAATTGTAGCTCTTAATCTAATTAATTAGATGTGTCGCATAGAATAAAAACACATAGAACAAACACATGTTCAGTGGGTCGTGCTTTTGAAAGAAATAAGATGGTATCGCATTGTAATAAAAATTACTAAGATTAAATGGTCTTCCAATTATAGGACATTACTTTGTTAGTCTCATGATTATTAAAAGTTACAAAATGGTCATTCGACTATTTATATGTTTTAAATCCATCATTTTCCATTAAAAATTTCTAAGTTGAAGGTTAACATGTTGACTGGAATATGATAAAATCTAATCCTAAAATCTAAAACGATTATACAATTCAAGCAGTTCTGAGATCATATTTATCATTCACAATCAGTAGGTTTACGTCCAACTCAAACGACCATCAATCTTTTAACAAAAAATAATGATTTTGTAACATATGAATAGTTGGGTGACCGTTTTGTAACTTTTAATAGTCAAGCGACTCAATAAAACAATACCTTATAGTTGGAGAATCATTTTTTAACTTGTAATAGTCAGAGACTTAATAAAACAACACCCTATAATCGAAGGGACCATTTATGTTTCACCTAAAATTATATAACAATCTAATTACACTCAATACCGAGTGTCCAAATGAGCTACCCAGCTCAACTTAAAAAAAAAAGTAAGATCTATTAATTTATTGAATGGTTAATGATGCTCATGTCATCCCATGTGTGGGTTTGAATCCTGATTAGAATATAATATCTCCATACTTAAAAAACGAATCAAAACGGAAATACTATCCAACTCTTAAACCTTTATCTAAATAGCTCGAGTATTTGACATTAAAGCTTTATTCAAATGATTACAAAGCACCTTTCAATCCAACGAAGGGCACAATATCAACTCATTTATTAATACAGAAACTTCAGCATGAAGCTGGTAAGCTTTTTCTAAACAGAAACCAAAATCTTTTGCCACCGAAAAAACAAAAGAAGGGGACTGCACTTATTCCATGAACTCTGGAAACTGTACAATCTATACTTGAGTAGTTCAGCCAATGCTGAGATGTTGTTTAGCTATCCAAGATTGTCCGGGCTCTAGCTGGACAGTCCCAATCTGAGTGACCATATTTTCAAAACATAAAAGCTATCAGTTCGGAATGTCATATCCCCACACCCATGTCCGAATATATGTCAGACATGGATATTTCAAACAAAGAAAAGTTGCATCATGAATATAACCCGGCATCCACTAAGTTTATCAAGTTACCATTGGAGGAAGTATCCAAGTACCTTTGCATTTTCAACACAAACAAAATCTTTGTAACATGCTTCCATCTGCAGATTCGGGTTCCACAAAACAGCATCCGACCAACTGCGAGGTCAAAGCAAAAGGATGAGGAAAATTTTCACTCGAATCAAATAAAAAGAGAGATACGAGACTCGAACTTGCGTACTTTGTATTCTTGATGGATATTACATCACCTAAGCCATTATCAAGGTGCACTTCATTAGGAGCATCAAGGTAAATGCAATCTACAAATCCAGGAAAAGTGACAGCATCCCTGAGTTGTTAATATAACAGTTAGAAACTGCAGCAAAATTATTCACACAAGTATCTCACATAAGCTGGCTAAAATTGTAGACATATAAAGAAGATGAAATGATATTATAGCTAAGAACACCTACAAGCTACAATCTATTTGGTCCTACGTATGATTTTCAGTTGGCATTAAACGGTTTGAGTAACAATATTAATCCTTCAACATTAGAAAAGTAATATCCAGATCTAGAGTAAATCAATGGAATAACTTTTTTTTTCATTTCCAAACCTAGTCATTATTAAAGAACAGGATGATCCTCCAGAGATCTTAATAAGCACTCTCTATAACATTTATAGTTCAAATATGTGTACTCAAGTTAGCCTCCTCCAATACGTTCTATGAACAATGCACTGACCTTTCCTCCCTGCCCTCAATTGGATTCTTAGGATCCGGATCTTTATTCAGAGTTTTGCAACCTTTCAAACCTTTCACGGATACCCCTGTTATAGATGCCTGCATCAAAATTTCTTAGCATCAACGTTCAACCAGATTCTTCAAGTTCAAAGGCCAAGCAACTCGATTATAATACATAAGACATAATATACATGTATATATGCGTATATTGTATGCATTTTCCCTTGCAAGTATTTCAAAGTTCCTTTCTTCTTTCTTTTCTTTTCTGGCACATTAAGTTATTTTTTTCTATCATTATCACCGAAAATAAATCTCCATTCCTATACAAAGAAAAGGTCAATTTGAACATGCTAGAGGAATTGCATCTATTAACCACAGAATTATAGGCACTTACACGAAAATATGAATGCAAGGCAGCGCTGAAAGTAAATGGCTTGTTGTCTGTGTTTGTAACTGTTAGATCAGTGGAAATGCTCTTCGTATTTAGAATAACCTGAAGAAACAAAAAAAATGAACTACCAATTTATTTAATTAGAGAACAAATACTACAATTGCTAGATTAAACAACATTTCTACTTAGGACTAGTTTGGTACCATTAAATTAACACATAAATCAGCAAAGAAATTACCATAGTCATGAGCATAATATCATTGCCCCGCCCATACCGGTAAATAATCAATAACTGACCTTATATCTAGCCTGAAAACCGAAATCCCACATGGCTCGGCTGTAAGGACCGTCTTTTAGCTCAAGAGTTACAGTAGGGTTGCCTTCCACATTTTCAGACTCCACAAGGGACCAATCTATATTCCTTGCAAATCCATGCTGTGAATTACATAAACAATTGCACAATTAAGACAAAACTAGAAGATATAAAAATAAATATAATCATCAAAATAAAAATAAAATTAGTTTTATTTATTCCATTCTTCTTTTAAGTTGGACGGTCTTTTGCAGGCAGAAACTAAAGATGATAGAGTGGATAGAACCACTCCCATTGACTTCATGGCAATATTTATACTAACCTTAAGATCCTAGTATCAATTCTCAAGAAGGATATTAACCAGGCCTCAATAATTTGCACTATGAGACGATCTTAAATGGCTCATGAGAAACAAAAGGAACTAAATATGAAATGCAGCAAAATTAATGAAAGTTACTAGAGGTAAATGGAAGCAAATAGTACATTTTAGAATTTTGAACAAAAATTAGAAGAGCATACCTGTTGCATTGGCCCAGGTCCAAACTGTGGGAAACAATGTGGAATACCTCCACTATCAAAACAAAATAAAAAATACAGTCAGTATCTTGAAACATTAAAATCTACCATTGCTATTATCATGTTTGTATGTTTGGTAATGCAGAAAGTGGTTTAAGATCAATTTCCAGACAAAAGATACAACCATAATCTACATCTTTAATCAGCTTAATTGAAGCAAGCTTTACCAAACATTAGCTTCATCTAACTTTTCAAGGCATATTTTTCAAATCACAATAGCTAAGACCAAAGTACACAGGGATGGGAAATCAACCTGATTGGCTTCTTTTTGTCAAATACAGCATCAGGCCGCACAAATAGAAGGTCTCGTCCACTTGGGACTTTCCAAGATGTAATGCAACCACCAAATAGATAAATCTCAGCTTCACTAAGACACCGTAAACAAAAACCAACAACATTCAATTCGTCGAACAAATCAAACTATTTCTTTCATACCCGAGTCAATGAAAAAAAACCCCTCACCAATAAATTTGGAAAGACCCAGAAAACAAAAATCTTGAAAAAAATGTATCATTTCTTCAAAATTTAAAGATTATGAACATTTACCTGCCGTGATCAGAAGTGAGCACAAGCTTCGGTAAATTGCCTTCCCCTTGTGTTACTTTGACCCCCAAAGCAGCAGCAGCCTGATTTGTGGCTGCAAAAGCCATGCCTGGATATCTGCAGAAGAATATGAACCGATGGATTGAAAATTTTACAAGTACTCTAGTACTAGAGTGTTTCCTTTGGAAACATGAGAGAAAACGGAAACAAACCGCTTGGTGGGGCGTAGATTAGAAAAGTTTAAGGAAGGGACAGAGAATTTCAACGAAACCATCGCCATTTTCTTCGATTATTAAGCAGAAAGGTGAGTGCCAAATGCGAAAGTGAAATTGATATAAAAAGAAAACAAGTTGCTCGTTAAAACCAACGATTGGTGACACCTAAAGGGCTTTGAAAGCTTTTGCCTTTTGGTTTTTGTTAATTGGTCGTTTTTTGTGGTTATGCCATTTTCGTTAAAATTCGCATATTCTTCCCTTATATTTATTTTTATATTCGTTGACACGGACATATTATCTAAAAGGCATAAATTAGCCCCTAATGTTTACTAAAATTATCATTTTCCCCCAATTCTATTTTTTTTGGTGCATTTTGACGTTTAACATTTCATTTTAGAGTAAAAAGATTCTAACATTTGACAGAATAATCACTGTCTCTTATTTTTTTGGGCATTTTAGCCTCCAACGTTTTATTTTAGATTAAAAAATGCTCCTATTTTGGAGCATTAATCATGTGCTAACTAATAATTTTCATCTATAGAAGGAGCTTTTTATCTCAAAGTGAAATGTTAAGAGCCAAAATGCTCCAAAAAAAAAAGTTTAGGTAAATCACACTTTAGAATAGGAGCATTAATATTATCTTTAGAGTAAGTTTTTGTTTTCCTTACTAAAATTCTAAAAATTTACAAAATGATCATTAATATTATCATTTTATAACAAATTGATTTTATACAAATCAATTTTATTATAAATTGATCATTCAACCATTAACCAACATTATACCAGTCACAGAATATTGGTGTGGCACGTTTACTTGGCTTACATGGCACCATTTGGCCATGTCGGACCAAGACTAATTGACATTTAACTGAAATAATAAAAAATCAATTTTAAAGAGGATTTCAATTTATTAACCCTAATTTCAAAAGGGGACAATTTGAGAAAGTGATGCTCTGTTATAGACTATTTGCAATCCTTCACAGTGAGATTAGAGGAATGAAAATATAAGTGGAGGGATATTGCGGAATAGTGATCGTTATATAGTGATAAAAAAACCGTTTAAAATCGCTATTTCACAATCACAATACCTGTAGTGACTGCAATAGCACTCGCTATTGTTATAATCACAATAAAATGAAAATTTAAGTGGAGGGACATTGAGGAGCAGAGATTTAAATAATTGTCCATTATCGGAATAGTGGTCGTTATGTAGTGGTAAAGGTGCCATTCCAAACCGCTATTTCATAATCACAATACCCGTAGTGACTGCAATAGCACCCACTATTGCTATAATCGTGATAAAATGGAAATTTAAGTGGAGGGACATTGAGGAGCAGAAATTTTAATAGTGATCCATTATCGGAATAGTGGTCGTTACACAACGGTAAATGTGCCGTCCGAAACCGCTATTTCACAATCACAATACCCGTAGTGACTGCAATAACACCCGCTATTGTTGTAATCGCGATAAACACAATGAAACAAGAAACACGACCATAACCGTAATTAAATCTATGTTGAATGGATGAGCTATCACCAACTACCCGAAGAATTAAAACATCGTGTTAGACGTTTTGTTAAGTATAATTGGCTTGCAACTCGTGCATCTAGTAAGGTTTCGAGGCAAAAACGTGTGAAGGGTTATTAACATATGAAACTGCCTAAGATCATGGAAAACGGTACGAAGAAAAACAAAAATCTCCAACTCTTAAAAGGCTACAGTTCATACAATTTTGAAAATGATGGCAGATTGATCATACATATGATCAATCTAAGAATCTAAATCACGTAACTCAATGTTGGGGTCAGACAAATTCATTAACCAACTGCATTTAGTTACCGTATGATGATATTGTCGCCACGTGCGAGTAATCAAACCCCTACTAGACGAAGGGAAAGAACACTACCGGGCAGAATATTTGTCGACCCCAATGTCAATCCAGAGCAAAAAGAAGGTTTCATTTCTTCTTTTTTGTCGGAATGGATTTTGTGAATGTTGGAAGTTTCACTCCAAACAATGTCTTGCGAGACTTCTTGCCTTTGGCATACTGGTTAGCATCTTCGGATATGACATTGTCGGATTGAAAGCATTCTTGTTGCTTGTCATCGTAGTTGGTAACTCTAAGGAGTCGTAGCAATTCCAATGCACTTGCTTTCCCCTTTTCACTCCCGTTAACAGATACATCAAAAAGGGCAGTGAATATATCACTCTCATCCATTACTAAGCGACAATACTCGGCACATTGTGAGCACAACGAAAGGAGGATATCCAACACATGCTCTTGATCCTCGTGACTGCTAGTCTCGAGTAATATGACTAAAAAACCAATGCATCCAGAAGTTTGAGCAATAGAAGCCCTAGCCTCTTCGTTACGGCACAAATTTCTCAATACCAATAGACAGTGCCCTGCGAGGGTGGTGCCTTGCAAGAATGAAACAAATTTCGAGATGCAGTCCAAACGCACCATGGAACAAACATCGGTGCTCGATGACAAATTGCACAAAATTTTAATGGCTCTTTCTCTGAAAACTATATTCTTTGAGTCAAGAATATTTAAAATGGAAACAACGGCACCAGATGCAGCAATCTTAGATCTACAACTGCTTTGGCAAGATAATACTTCCATGATGTCGAAAACCTCATCAGTTACTTCAGAGTCGAGGAAAATTGACAACAGACTATACACATCTTCATTTAGGTATCTTATGCCACTCCTGCAAGAAACTCACAAACCAATGGAAAAAAAATTAGCCTCTCTAATCAAATAAAGGATAACAGACACTAACAAATAATGTTTAAATGATCGAAAATACATGCAGTTCTATGATAGACATCCAACCTTGGTGAAGCGTAGGACAAATCGACAGTTATGTCTTCCACGGCAACGTCACGACAAGGAAATTAGATAATACCAAAACAACAAGCACATTCTCATAATAAAAAAGGGGAAAAAAACAGAAAACTAGTTGCATTTCGCATCATAAAACATGATATCGAAGCTATTACAGAACTCGAGAAAACACATTACCTGTATTTGTTAAGAAATGTTGATAACAACTGAAATCCACCTTTCGATGCTATTATATCATGTAAATCATGACCAGTGCTCAAAAATTTAATTAGAGGCTCAATGAAATTCTCGGATGACATAGAAAAACAAGCTAGATCGTCAGATTCCAAATGATTTTTCAAATCTTCAACAATCTTATATTGTGATTCCCAATCAAGCTCTGCAAGGCTGGATAGAGACTCCAAATCCATCTTACTTGTGTTGCTGGGAGTACGATATCGGCAAAGATAATCACAGTTCTGATCTGGTGCCAAACTTAAGCCATCTCCATTCTTGTTCCGCGATCCATCCGAAGTATAACTAGAATCTAAAGATCCAAGTGATATATTGCTGATGTCCAATGGAAAGCGCAAATCATTTATATAACTGCCAAAACTAGCTACGGAAGTGGAAGAAGTTTCCAACAAGTGAAGCACATCAGGTTGCATGCTTGGGTCCTGAATGGTGATTCCATACTTCATGCACCATTTTGATATCATATCCTTCATGGTAGCATTTTGAGTTAGTGACAGATTCTCTAGTTTCATCCCCGTTTTTGGGCACATATCGTTACCATCATCGAACCACTTCCGGATCCAAATCCTTTCAAATGTTTGTCCAGAAGCAATGATAACGGGATCATATATCAATCTTGAAGATATGGGGCATTTAAACTCCTCGGGAAGAGTAGCAGTGCTTAACTTATCAGCTTGAGCGTCATACTGCTTATGCTCCATGCAAGATTCCACGTTAAAAGTGTGAACGTGCATAGAATCAGTACTGGGGTCATTACTTGCAAATGCTCCTTCATTCCGATCAGTTGTGTAGTCTGTTTGCTCTTCAATAATCTGATTCGCATACTTCCTCAACAGATACAAAAGATATCTTAAGATCTTTTTCTTTTGTTGGTCGGAGTCACCAACTTTTTCCAGCAACTTCTTAATAGATCTTTTCTCTATTAAGATGGCTATTAAAGATGTAAGATGAAGTTGTGACGCTGCTGTTTGAAAAGCTCTAATTTCGGCGTGCTCCATTGAATCTGATGCTGTAGCTCCCCTCTGGAGCAATTCTCTTACAACCTTCCCGGCCTCTTTTTCAAATTCATCAGGGATAAATTTTGCAGCTTGAAGATCATCAACAATTTGAGTGATCTACAATAACATTTCAGTACCAATGTGAAGAAATGACATCATGAAGAAAAGTTATCTAAAATTAAAATATAATTGATTTGACTATAAGGTTTGCAACTTGCAACACATGAAGAAAAAACAGCTTCACTACTAAAGCAGGGTGATTAAAAGATTAACAAGACATGTAATTTGACAAACCTCAACAGCAAGCATAACGGGAACCATACTCTGAATTTGGCATAAACCTTGTTCCAACAAGTTTCTCGATTTGTGACATCTTGAAACTATGGCATGTGTCGTTATTGCCTGAAAGTAATTGCAGAGAATTATCAACCAAAAAGTAATAGGACTTATCTATTTAAGATCACAAGCACCAGCAACCGGCCTTGTAATGGCCAGGTCATAAACTCACAATCATTTGTTTTAATAAAAAATTTCACAGGTATTGCCCTCCATAAACAAGACGGCAATAACAACAAAAATATACGACTCAAGAGAAAAAACACACCAGATAGAGTTTACTGGATTCGCTGCTGTATTGAAGAAGTAACTTTGCTTTGTCAATTGCACTGTTGAGTGAGCATAGGGCCTTAATTCCTGAGGAGCATCTAGGTCGAGCAGCTTCAATTTTTGGAAATATCTTTATAATTCTATCAACCAACTTACTAAGTTCTGTGCACATCACATGGTGCACCTACAATCATCGACAATAATTTATGAGAAAATCATAATCTTTTAAATATCCAAAATGGAAAAGAAATCTGCTCAAATTTGAACTTCGTCGAATAACACCGGCAGACTAGGTCATTTATCTTTCCTCTTATGGATACAAGTAACTAAAGAAATCCATGCTTCTTTCTTGAACAAAGACAAAGCAAAAGATTTTCCCATACTTTTTAAAGCTTTCTAGTTGAGCTCAACTATTAAATTGCAATGGCATCATAAAAAGTGTCAGCAGTGCTATGTGTAAAGCATACTCAAAAACAGCTTAAAGAAAACATGAGTGCGATGATATGATCCTCTATGAATAAGCAAAAACTGGAGAAAATTTGAATGTATCAGGAAAACATGTAATCTTCCTCAGGAACAGATGAATTGTATAGATTTATTCTCTAATTTCCATCAACCTATACTTTAGAAATACTTGGACGGTGGATCAAATATAATTACATAATTACATAAACCCAGAAATTGTTTGTACCTTAAAGGAATTAGGATAGCATGGATTCTCCACTACTTGAGCGGCAGCAACCCCCATTCAAGTGTTAAAGAAACTGAAAACCACTGCAGGTTTATCACAATGATATAGTTCTCAAACATACCAGAGATCTATTAGGCTGTAAGAGATGAAAATGTTTTCTCTGTACATAATATTTATTTTATTAGGAAGTGAGATTTAAAAAAAAAGCTTAATTTTTTAAGTTAATGGTGATAAACAAGGGAAAAGGCGAACATATCAGGGGGATAGGGGAAAGAGAAAACTCACCTAGTGATATGGAGACAGGAGCAATGATGAAGAAATGGGTTTTTTTAACCACCAGCCAGAAAGGTACTTTATTGAGCAAAATAACCACAAGGTCCACAACCATATACTTGGCCACTTAAATAAGTAAACACTTCAGAAAAAGTATCATTGTAGCCACCAGAAAAACAGGAACTTTCACTTGCACAACAGTCGGAACCATCTAAAAAAAAAGCTAATTTTTTCAACTCCAAAGTATGACTCAAGGATCAAACTTTAGCAGCTCCAAGGTGAAAAGGAAACAATAGTTTGGGGGGGGGGGGAACCAGTCTCTTATTCTGGCTGGAATCCTAACTCTCAGAAAACCATCTTCAGAGCCAATGGTAATAAATTGTATAAAAAAAAGGGTATCTTGAAAGGGAAGACAATTCCAGAAACGAAAAGTTTTGCAATAACCCAACAAAAGAAAGACATGCAACTTGAGCTTTAGAGCCCCTTCAAGACAAAAGGCAACCAAGAAAAATACAAGGAACCTTTGTATCAGGAATGTTAAAAGTTGGCTGACGGTTGACCGGGACAATGCAAGTTATTGTGAATAAGAAAATGGGTTATATCTCAAATAAGTGCCTAAAGTATTTTTTTGTCAAAATAAATACCTAAACTTATCTTTTTGGTCAAAATAGGTACTTAAAGTATTTTTTTAGTCTAAATAACTACCTAATGTATTCAATATTTTCATCTGAATACCTAAAGTATTCTTTAATCAATGTTACATGTCAAATTTTTAGAACTCAGATGAAAAAATTAAATAATTTAGGTACCTATTTTGATCAAAAAATAAGTTTAAGTGCTTATTTTGATTAAAAAATAATTTAGATACTTAGATGAGAAAGAATATATACTTTAGGTACTTATTTATAATATAAGCATAAGAAAATAAATAGATTCTTTTTTGTTTTTTCAGCTAAACTGCAACTTTTAGAGCGTTTGTCCATATGTTATTATAAATTGATACTTTTAATAAGATGAAGGAGAATATGTACGACTTCAATAAAATAAGTATTAAATTTGGGATTCTTGAGATAAATTAATGACATTAAGACAATTAAAGAGATTGTTGTTATAATAAAGGTAATACTTAAATTACATTATAGTTGAAATTAAATTATTTTTAAAAAATATATTAATCATAATATACATGATAAAATATATATTTTGACACCGTTTAAAATATCTATTTTATAAACATTATTTCTATTATATATTATAAAACTAAAAAATGAAAAAATAGTAAAATAATAATAATAGTATGTTAATTATAATATACATTAACAAATATTATAATAACATACTTATAATATTAGTTAACATACATAATAATGTTCGGATTTGATATATTATATAAAAAATAAAAAAATTAATGATTTTGAAATAAGTTTTAAAAGTTTAGTGACTAAAATATAAGTACCTTAAAAGTTTAGAGACTATTTATATAATTTACCCTTTTTATTTTAATCGAAGGAATAATCATCTGTCTACCCCACGTTTTTTATAATTCTTACACTATTACAATAATAAATTAATAATTATAAAGATAACCTTATTTTCTTTATTTTATTTTTATTGGTTGGATTATCAAATTAAAAGCAACGGATATTTGAAAAAAAGGGCAATTTTGATGTGATTTATCATAACCACTTGGAAGCCCAAGCCGGCATAAGGGAGATGTATTATTTCGATCGATTAATTAATTAATTCGGATTGAATATTATAGAGTCAAGATAGAGCTTTTCAACATATATCATTGCTTAATAGATTTAGTGTCTCATTCTATTAAATCAATCGATTGTTGGTGTATTCTTCTCTTATTTTTAAAGAGTTATAAATATAGGGATCTATTAATTAGTCGAACAATTAAATATGTTTGTATTATTTTATAGAGAAAATAACCTCAGTGACCAAAAATCCCATATAATATACGATTTTAACCAACTTTTTCCGGATTTGCCAAAATGACCAACAAAATCGCAATGCGATCGCTAATTCGCAACGCGATCTCCATTATCGCAAATTCGCGTTGCATTTTCGCAATGCGATAGTTGAAAATCGCGTTGCGATGGTCTACAGTATCGTTACGATTTTCCCAATTCGCAATGCGAATAAGTAAATCGCAACGCGAATTGGGAAATTCGCAATGCGAATAATTAAATCGCAACGCGAATTGGGAAAATCGCAATGCGATACTGACTATCGCAATGCGATACTGACTATCGCAATGCGATAATAAAAAATCGCAACGAGATACTTACTTTCGCAACGCGATACTGACTTTCGCAATGCGATAATACATAATCGCAATGCGATTTTCAAAGCGCCATTAGTATCCTGGCCAAGTATTTTATTTTTAAATTCCAAACATGAATATAAATATATTGGAACACTAAACTGTCCACAGTATATCCCGTAATCGCAACTCATAACCTAAAACCTAAAATCACAACTCAGTCCCATCTCCATCTCTCACTCTCTCACCCATCTCCGACGAAATCCGTCCCCATCTCCGGCGAAATCCGTCTATCTAAATCTCTCAGAGCCACCCTCACAATCAGAAATGGAAAATCAACCAAATCAACCAACGAGGGTTAGTTTTTTTAATTATTTTCTTTTTGAAATTTTTGCATTATTATTAGGTTTTTCATATTGAAATTGATGATAGGTTTACTGGTAATTTCAATAATAGATTAACCATTTCACTTAGATTGCTTATTAAATCAACCAAGAATCGCAACGCGAAATGCAAATCGCAACGCGATTTTAGTTTCGCGTTGCGATTCTCTCGTTGCGATAGTCATTTTCGTGTTGCGATTTTCATTTTCAGAAACTATTCTTCTTCTGCAAATTGAAACTTGAATGAATTGCATTACTTCAACCAAAAAACAAAGACAAATACGAAATTCACAGTGTTGCATATTTAAGTTTGAAGAATAAACTACTACTATTTATGTTTATTATTGTTTTTGGTATATCTTCACAGTGTAGTTTTTGGTATATCTAATTTAGTATGTTTATTGTTTTTGTAGAACTTTTATTCGGCTCAATTGACCTTGAGAAATAAAGTCAGCCTGGCCAAAACAATTGCGTCGAAGCTTTCACCTGCACAAAGAAAAATGTTTGAGGATACATGCTTCGGGCCATGGCTGAAAGTACAACATCCCGGTGGAGATGCGATGTTGACACACCTGTTTCTTCAAACCATGACTAGAGATCTACCAGAGACTATACAACGTCGTGATGAAGAGATATGGTTTGATTTTCCACCGGCGTATACGTGTTTTGGGCGGGAGGAGTTTTGCTTAATCACCGGTCTACGCTTCGGACACGATGATTTAGGTCGGTACACTAGACACATTACCCGCCCATCATGGCTATCCCGGGTTTTCCCTGAGCTGGAGAGGCCGAGTCTACACGTAGAAGACCTGACAAGATTTTTGAATAATAAAGATGGTTTTACTCGGATGGATGACGTCGACGTTGTCCGAGTATGCCTTCTAATTCTTTTGCATGCCGGCTTTTTAGGCAGAGAGGCCAGACAACCTATTCCAAATGATCTAATCAAATTGGTAGAAGACCTAAATGCGTGGAACCTGTTTCCGTGGGGCTCGTATTTATGGAAAGCTACATGGAATAAGTTATCGTCTACCTTGGATGATCGAAAAAGTTTGCATGGCGATGGTTCCAAATACACTTTGACAGACTTTATTTGGGCCTTTAAGGTAAGAATTTTTATATAATGTTTCCAAAATTATAAGTAATTATTTAACAATTACTAATGTTTGTTATTATATTGTTTGTAGATTTGGATATTTGAGGCCTTTCCCGCCATGAAGACATATGCAATAAAAACTTCAAATAATATTCCCAGGGCTATTTCCTGGAAGAGGAAACGAACCTTGCAATGGGAAGATTTACTACGGTATACGACAATAAATAATGTAAGTTAACATAAATACTACCATATGTTTATAAACAAGTTATTACTAGTACACATTTAACTTTGTTTAAGCTTTTATATTGTTAGGAGACCAACACTCCTCTATAGAGGCTGACACCCACGGAAGCTGAGCTTGCCACTGATTGGTGGCAAGCTAGTAAGCGTTTTTTTGATGGAACGGTTGATGAGCAGCCTCCACTTCGGGAGCCATCACCTCGCCCAGAGCTATCACCTCACCTAGAGCCATCATCTGATCGACCCGGCTATACACCTCCACAACGACAGCCATCACCTATTCTTTCACATCATCGAGCCTCTTCTCCACCATCACCGCAAGATAGGCGACCGGCAAAGATGTCACGACGTTTATCTCCCTGTTCTCCACCTCCACCTCAACGGGATGAGTTAGGGGAGTTACGTGATGAGGTCAATGCCTTGCGTGAGGAGGTCGGTACTTTACGCAAAGACGATGGTGCATGGCGTGTTGAGGTGTCTACATTACGCGCTGAGGTAGCCGCTCTACGTGAGATGGTAGCATCGTTGCAGAATGAGGTTCATACTCTACGCAACGAGGTAAGTTTAAGATTTTTCATACTCGTAATTCATTCGGTTGCTGCCAATCTGTTTTTGTTAGTATTTGTTTTTGGTTTTGTTTTTGTCTTTTGGTTGAAGTAATGCAATCCATTCAAGTTTCAATTTGCAGAAGAAGAATAGTTTACTTTCGCAACACGAAAATGACTATCGCAACGCGGAAATGGCTATCGCAATGCGAAATGAAAATCGCAACGACAAAATCGCAACGCGAAATGAAATCGCAACGACAAAATCGCAACGCGAAATGAAAATCGC